TAGTTAAATAAATGTTCAGTGACTTGAAAATGGGGATCGCTTTTTAACCTTTCAGGGTCGCAAAAGGCCCTCCAAACTTTTTTTTTCTCAGGGGTTGGAAAAAATTTTTCGGAAAAAAAAAATTTTTTTTTTCCTAGAAAATGATAGAGAAATCTTTTTCCCGATCATAATGAACCAAAAGTATGAAAAATTTGATGGGGGAAAATTATGGAAAAAAATTTAAACTTTCGCGAAGTTAGTGGGCCTCGAAAATGTTTACCCAATAAAACGATTTCCCGCCCACTTTGAGCCCTATTATTTTGGGCCAATTCCCAACTTGCCCGTCGACTCTACCTATTTCGCTAAACTCCATTTTGTCTATTGAATGAGTACAAGAAACCCCCATTTTCCAATTTCAACTAACCCAAAAAGTAGTAAGAAATTGGAACTTTTTCCAATTTCAACAAATTTCAAAAAATGCCAATTTTCCCAAAAAGGGTCCAGAATAAACAAGACAGACATTCCCGGGATAAAAAAATATTTTCCCCTGTTGATTACTCATGACCCCAGGCCCACTACATTTCGTTTGCTTTCCATTTGAATTTTTATTCTCTCAGAAAATAAAAGATTTGTTATAAGACTTTGGCATTTGTGTGGAAATGGTATAATATTATGAGCAACTTTTGGGAAAAAATATTAGACCCGCCAGTTTTTGTGTATTGGACGTGTGGGGAGATTTGTTTACCTTTGAACTTTGGCAAAATCAAACATTTATGCTACTTTGAGCTCAATTTCAAGATACTTTTCATATGAAACTAATTAAAATATCTCAATTTTCCCTAATTATCTTCCATTTATAAAATGAGACCAGGAAAACTAGAATACAACCATAAATAGCTACAAAAAAACACGCAAAAGGCCCGTTTTAAACCCGAAACACTGTGGAGTTTTTTTTTTATTTTTCACCCTGTGCGCAGGTTTTTTTTTCTGTGCACCTGACCCCCATAGACCCATTCTTTCATATGTAGGTTACCAGCTTTCTTGCAGATTTGAAGGCCTAGAATTTAATACTGTACGGACCAACCCGGGGCCCGAAGCTGTACTAGTACGGCACCAACCCCGAAAGGGCAAATTTGGAAAATTTAATTTACCTGCAAGAGAGATTTTTTTTGTATTTTGCATACTTCTATGTTGTGTTTTTTGTCTTCATAAAGGGAAGGTGTCTCAGAGGTAGTTTTAATAAAAGTACTCAAGGCTTGTGAGGCAACCTCCTGTATATTTTTAATGTTGAATGCAAAACTAATACTGCACCTGGTAGTTTAACTGTGAAATTTGTGCAAGAAAGGTTAAAATACCCCACAAAATGAAAGTTTAAAAACTGTGCAACATTGGTTTTCTTTATGTGAGTTTTGCCATCCCCGTGGCTTTATCAATACAGTTCATGAAATAATTGAAAAACAGTGTAGGTTGGTAGAAAACAACCCCCCAGGGAGGGGATACTTCCTGCCAAATGGTGAAAAAAGAAAGCCTTTAAATTTTTTTTTAATGTGTAGGATTGCTGGGTGTCCATTTTTTTTTCATAAACATGCAAGGTTTCAGTACTCTTGCTTCTTTACTTACACTTTAGTCACCTACACATACTGTACAAGCATCATGCATTTTAAAAATATATATATATTTTATAATTTATTATATATATATATTTTATATATAAATATATATATATATAATTATATAATATATAATATTTTTATATATATATATATTATAATATATTAATTTTTTTTTTTTTTTTTTTTTTTTTTTTTTTTTTTTTTTTTTTTTTTTTAACAAGTCGGCCGCTCCCACCCAGGCAGGGTGACCAAAAAAGAAAGGGAAAAACCCCAAAAAGAAAATACTTTCATCATCATTCAACACTTTCACCACATTCGACATTTCATGTTTTTGCGAGGTGTCGAATACAAGTCTAGAAGCTAACATATAAAGATACACAAAAATTTTCCTCCAAACTCCCCCAAAATCCCCAAACCCCCCCCTTTAAAGTGCAGGCATTGTATTTCCCCTTTTCCCGGGCTAAAATCCGATTATGAAAAAAACGGTTTTCCTGAATCCCCTTCATAATTTCCCTGCTCACACTCCAAAGATCGTCGGCCCCAATACCCTTTGTCTCCATTCACTCCATCTAACACGTCACGCACGCTTGCTGGAAGCCAAGCCCCCCTTTCCCCCAAAACCTCCTTTATATATATTAATATATATAAATATATATATATGATATATATGTATATATATGTAATTTTTGATATGTCGTGCCGAATAGGCAGAACTTGCGATCTTGGCTTAAATAGCAACGCACATCTTGCCATATAAGACAAGTGAAAATTTGTGTATGCAATAATTTCGCGAAAATCATTCTGAACCTAACGAAAAAAATATATTTCACTATGTTTGTTTAGTATTAAACTATTGTAAACAAAACTTAAATATATTTAGTTGAGCTAGGCTAAAATAAATTGTTCTTGTTATAATAAGGCTAGGTAAGTTTTCTAAGATTCTTTTGGTGCAAAATTAAAAAATTTTACATTAACATTAATGAAAAAATATATCTTTAAACGTATAAGAGAAAATTTTAGAAAGGACTTAATTTTAAATGAGTTCTTGCTAATTGACCAGTTTTACATATTCGGCACGACATATATATATGTATATATATGTATATATATGTATATATATGTATATATATGTATATATATGTATATATATGTATATATATGTATATATATGTATATATATGTATATATATGTATATATATGTATATATATGTATATATATATATATATATATATATATAATATATATGTATATTATATATATATATATAATATATATATATATATATATATATATATATATATATATATATATATATATATATATATATATTAATTTTTTTTTTTTTCTCTCTCTCAACAAGTTGGTCGTCTCCCACCAAGGCAGGGTGACCCAAAAAAAAAGAAAGAAAATCCCCAAAAAGAAAATACTTTCATCATCATTCAACACTTTCACCACACTCACACATTATCACTGCTTTTGCAGAGGTGCTCAGAATACAACAGTTTAGAAGCATATACTACGTATAGAGATACACAACATATATATATATATATATATACAGTGGACCCCCGCATAACGATCACCTCCGAATGCGACCAATTATGTAAGTGTATTTATGTAAGTGCGTTTGTACGTGTATGTTTGGGGGTCTGAAATGGACTAATCTACTTCACAATATTCCTTATGGGAACAAATTCGGTCAGTACTGGCACCTGAACATACTTCTGGAATGAAAAAATATCGTTAACCGGGGGTCCACTGTATATATATATATATATATATATATATATATATATATATATATATATATATATATATTATATATATATATTATATATAATATATATATTATATATATACACCACACACACACCCCTCTGGGTTTTCTTCTATTTTCTTACTAGCTCTTGTTCTTGTTTATTTCCTCTTTATCTCCATGGGGAAGTGGGACAGAATTCTTCCTCTGTAAGCTATGCGTGTTGTAAGAGGCAACTAAATGCCAGGAGCAAGGGGCTAGTAATCCTTTTCCTGTATAAATTGCTAAATTTAAAAAGAGAAACTTTTGTTTTTCTTTTTGGGCCACCCTGCATTGGTGGGATATGGCCGGTTTGTTTAAAAAAAAAAAAAAAATAGAAGACAGTAGAACTATATACAAAGATGAGGTAATCAGTCCCTCAGTCTTGAGTTGGTGTTGAGAGCACCATGGTGCTACTGTCTTCTAATTATGTCCTAGAATCTGTATTGATAAAGCCACTGGATGGCAAAACATCTACAATAAAGATAACCAGATGTTGCACATGTGTCTTAATTTCATGATGAAATTTTATTTTTATGGTTACAAAGTATCGATAAATTGTTCCTTCTCTTTTAATGGTACCTCAGACAGTTCTGGGTGTAAAGATGAGATTTTGAACTCAATTTAATGTTTCTGTTGAAGGAAGAAGATATTTCCCAATTGTGATATGCAAATCAGAAAAAATTATTTATACCAAAAGTTTTGAGATGTCGATATTAAAAATTTTCTTAGATTCTGGAGAGGGGCTCTTAATCCAAGGGATTAGATGTTTACTTGCCTTACTTGGATTGCAGCTAGATTCCTCCCATTCCATAAGTACTGTATCATCCTGTGGGTTTAGTGCTTTCTCTTAAATGTAGCAGTACTATAATGATATGTGGTCTGGTATGGTGCCACTCTAAACTGAGTGGCACCATACCTGACCATTTGCCTACTGTTTCTACAGCTCCATCAGTACATGAAGGCCAATATATTTGTGACTTGACAATGGTCCAGGATGGATTGAAACATTGTCATAAGGTTCTAAGTGCTAGTTTTTGGTGAATTGTTCCTATCAAAGTGTTGACTTTATTCTTTAATATTCATGATAACTGATGGTAACAGGTTGAATAATCTTGACACAGTGTTCTCTTATTGTACCTGTTGCACCTTTGCTTTTTACTGGGTCTGTTTTATGTTTTCATGTCTTTTCACTTTAGAACATACTTATTGCTTTTGTCATTTTAATAATTAAAGCAATGTACGCAGGGATCTCTAGGAATGTTAGGGGAGTCGCTTGACTTGACAATTTAATGAAATTTTAACTGATGCTGGTTATTGTTGCTGTGTGTGTGTGAGTATTTGTTGTGTGTTTGATATTTGTTGATGTTCATAAGTGTTATATTTACTTTTATTGGCAAGAGCACTAACTGATATGCATGGTCAAAGCACTTCAAATTTTCAGACTACCCGTATAGTGTATATGGAAGTGATAGATAATTTTGAAATTATGGTTCAGTATTCTTTTTCTGGCTTATGTTGTTATAATTTCAGGCCTTAATATGGTGGTTTTGCAAGATTTTTTTTTTTTTTTGCATTTTAATATTTGTATTGTTGGCATAATTTCTGTAGGTCTTCCTGGAGCCCATTGACAGCATCAGTAATATTCCTCCGGCCCGTTGGAAAACTCACCTGCTACATCTGCAAGCAACGAGGTGTTGGTGCTTGTATCCAGTGCAACAAAGTAAATTGTTATACAGGTGAGCTTCTCTTTGTTGTTAACTCGTAAATTAGCAGAGATTCTTTGAGTTTGATTGTTATTTAGTTATGTGCAAACAGATATTAAAAACTGAATGGGCAGAATAAAAATCGGGATGGCGGGATGAAAAGCAATAATGATGATGATGAGGTCAAGAAATTAATATTTAGGCATGATTGAAGAGTAACAAGGATGCATGTAAATTAATAAGTAGCAGTAAATAACATTGGCCAATACTATGTCCACCAATAAGAACATAAGAAAGGAGGAACACTGCAGCAGGCCTCCTGGCCTTTGCGAGGCAGGTCCAATTCTCTTACCAGCTTAAGCAACCTAGTCAGGTCAGGTCACGTTTACTTAAGGAGCATGGCATCTGACCTAGTAGCATAAGCTAGTCAGTTCAAAACTCACCCACCCACACCCACTCATGTACTTATCTAACCTGTTTTTTAAAACTACATGTCTGCCTCTATGATGGTACTTGGGAGTTTGTTCCACCCATTAACAACTCTAATACCAAACCAATGCTTTCCTATATCCTTCTTGAATCTAAATTTTTCCAGCTTAAAGCCATTGCTGCAAGTCCTGTCTAGGTTAGATATTTTTAGGATGCTATTTACATCTTTATTCATTCTTGTTTTCCATTTATACACCTCAATCATTTGTTTTTTCAACAAGTCGGCCATCTCTCACCCAGGCAGGGTAACCAAAAAAGAAAGAAAATCCCCAAAACAAAAATACTTTCATCATTCAACACTTTCACCTCTCATACATAATCACTGTTTTTGCAGAGGTGCCCAGATGCAACAGTTTAGAAGCATATATACAGATACAATATAAAAAGTGACCTGAAATAATAAGTATACAATATCAGGGCCCCCATTATATATATACCATCCTATTACACATCCCACCAAACTGCCAATATCCCCAACCCCTCCTTTAAAGTTCAGGCATTGTACTTCCCATTTCCAGAACTCAAGTCCGGCTATATAAAAATAACCGGTTTCCCTGAATCCCTTCACTAAATATTACCCTGCTCACACTCCAACAGCTCGTCAGGCCCCAAAAACCATTCGTCTCCATTCACTCCTATCTAGCATGCTCATGTATGCTTGCTGGAAGTCCAAGCCCCTCGTCCACAAAACCTTTACCCCTTCCCTCCAACCTTTTCGAGGAAGACCCCTACCTCGCCTTCCTTCCCCTTCAGATTTATAGACTCTCCATGTCATTCTACTCTGATCCATTCTCTCTAAATGACCAAACCACCTCAACAACCCCTCTTCAGCTCTCTGACTAATACTTTTATTAACTCCACACCTTCTCCTAATTTCCACACTCCGAATTTTCTGCATAATATTTACACCACACATTGCCCTTAGACAGGACATCTTCTGTTGGGTTTCAGGGCCACTGACAGCATACGCCGTATTAGACAGGACATCTCCACTGCCTCGAACCACTGCCTCGCTGCAGCATTTACAACCCAAAGCCAAGCTTCACACCCATATAAGAGTGTTGGTTCCACTATACTTTCATGCATTCCCTTCTTTGCCTCCTTTGATAATGTTTTTTGTCTCCACATATACCTCAACGCACCACTCGCCTTTTTTCCATCATCAATTCTATGGTTAACCTCATCCTTCATAAACCCATCTGCTGACACATCAACTCCCAGATATCTGAAAACATTCACTTCTTCCATACTCCTCTCCAGTGTGATACCTCAATCATAGCCCCCCCGTAATTCTATGCCTTTCTAGAGAGTGAAGACTCAGGGCCCTCAGTCTGTCCTCATAGGGAAGATTTCTGATACATGGGATCAACTTTGTCATCATCCTTTGTATGTTTTCCAGTGCATTTATGTCCATTCTGTAATACGGTAACCAGAACTGTGCAGCATAATCTAAATTAGGCCTAACCAAACATATATAGAGTTAAAGAACAACCAGAGGATTTCTGTTATTTATACTTCTTGATATAAACCCAAGGATTCTGTTACATTTATTGCGAACACTTACGCACTGTTGGGAACTCCTAAATCCTTTTCGCAATCAGTAAAATTAAGATCTACAGTATTTAATTTGTGTGTGGCATGGTTATTTTCCTGTTCAACATTTAGAGCTTTGCATTTGTCTATATTAAACTGCATTTGCTACTTCTCTGGCCACTGCATGTATTCAAATCATCCTGGAGTGCTCTAATGTCCTTTTTTTTTTTTTTTTTTTTTTTTAACAACAAGTCGGCTGTCTCCCACCGAGGCAGGGTGATCCAAAAATAAAATCCCCAAAAGAAAATACTTTCATCATCATTCAACGCTTTCACCTCACTTAAACATAATCACTGTTTTTGCAGAGGTGCTCGTAACACAGCAATTTAGAAGCATATATGTATAAAGATACACAACATAGACAATGTTTTTTGTCTCCACATATACCTCAACGCACCACTCCCCTTTTTTTTTTTCCTCATCAATTCTACGATTAACCTCATCCTTTATAAATCCATCTGCCGACACGCCAACTCTGAAAATATCTGAAAACATTCACTTCTTCCATACTCCTCCTCCCCAATTTGATATCCAATTTTTCTTTATCTAAATCATTTGATGCCCTTATCACCTTACTCTTTTCTATGTTCACTTTCAACTTTCTACCTTTACACACACTCCCAAACTCATCCACTAACCTTTGCAATTTTTCTTTAGAATCTCCCATAAGCACAGTATCAGCAAAAAGCAACTGTGTCAATTCCCATTTTGTATTTGATTCTCCATAATTTAATCCCACACCTCTCCCGAACACCCTAGCATTTAGTTCTATTACAACCCCCATCTATAAATATATTAAACAACCATGGTGACATTACACATCCCTGTCTAAGACCTACTTTTACCGGGAAGTAGTCTCCCTCTCTTCTACACACCCTAAAAAACTCTTTACAGCATTTAGTAACTTACCACCTATTCCATATACTTGCAACATCTGCCACATTGCTCCCCTATCCAGTCTTTCATATATTTTTTTTTTTCGTTTTAACAAACCGGCCGTACCCCACCAAGGCAGGGTGGCCCAAAAAGAAAAACCCCTTGCTCCTGGCATTTTAGTCACCTCTTACAACATGCATAGTTTACGTAGGAAGAATTCTGTTCCACTTCCCCATGGAGATAAGAGGAAATAAACAAGAACAAGAACTAGTAAGAAAATAGAATTAAACCCAGAAGGGTGTGTATATATATATATGCTTGTACATGTATAAATAGTGTGACCTAAGTGTAAGTAGAAGTAGCAAGACGTACCTGAAACCTTGCATGTTTATGAGACAAAAAAAATGGACACCAGCAGTCCTACCATCATGTAAAACACTCAGTTGGCAGGACGGTAGTACCTCCCTGGGCAGTTACTGTCTACCATCCTACTACCTAGGACTCTTATCATATGCCTTTTCTAAATCCATAAATGCAATAAAAACTTCCCTCCCTTTATCTAAATACTGTTCACATATATGCTTCAATGTAAACACTTGATCTACACATCCCCTACCCACTCTGAAACCTCCTTGCTCATCCGCAATCCTACATTATGTCTTGCCTCTAATTCTTTCAATTATAACCCTACCGTACACTTCTCCTGGTATACTTAGTAAAGTTTTTTTTTTTTTTTTTCCAACAAACCGGCTGTATCCCACCGAGGCAGGGTGGCCCAAAAAGAAAAACAAAAGTTTCTCTTTTCAAATTTAGTAATTTATACAGGAGAAGGGGTTACTAGCCCCTTGCTCCCGGCATTTTAGTCGCCTCTTACAACATGCATGGCTTATGGAGGAAGAATTCTGTTCCACTTCCCCATGGAGATAAGAGGAAATAAACAAGAATAAGAACTAGAAAGAAAATAGAAGAAAATCCAGAGGGGTGTGTATATATATGTGCTTGTACATGTATGTACAGTGTGACCAAAGTGCAAGTAGAAGTAGCAAGACATACCTGAAATCTTGCATGTTCATGAGACAGAAAAAAAAGGACACCAGCAATCTTACCATCATGTAAAACAATTACAGGCTTTCGTTTTACACTCACTTGGCAGGACGGTAGTACCTCCCTGGGCGGTTGCTGTCTACCAACCTACTACCTAGGTACTTAGTAAACTTATTCCTCTATAATTTTTACAGTCTCTCTTGTCCCCCTTCCCTTTATGTAAAGGGACTATACATGCTCTCTGCCAATCCCTAGGTAGGTACCTTCCTCTCTTTCATACATTTATTAAACAAAAATACCAACTCTATTTGAAACCCCTGACCTAATCCCATTTATTCCTCTCCACTGAAACTCCTACCCCCTTCAGCTTTGTTTCACTTAGCCAGGACATTTAGTTTCTTCTCATTCATTTTTTTTTTTTCAACAAGTCGGCCGTCTCCCACTGAGGCAATGTGACCCAAAAAAGAAAAAATCCCCAAAAAGAAAATACTTTCATCATCATTCAACACTTTCACCTCACTCACACATAATCACTGTTTTTGCAGAGGTGCTCAGAACACAACAGTTTAGAAGCATATACGTATAAAGATACACAACATATCATTCATAACATCCACAATCATCTCTTTCTTATCATTCGCACAACATCCACGCACATTCAGACTTCCCACTTTGACAATTTTCTTCTTCTTCTTTTTAGTAATTATTACAGGAAAAGGGGTTACTAGCCCATTGTTCCCGGCATTTTAGTTGACCTTTACAACACGCATGGCTTACGGAGGAAAGATTCTTATTACACTTCTCCATGGATATAAAAGGAAAAGTAATAAGACCAAGAACTATTAAGTTAAAATCAAAGGAAACTCAGATGAGTGTGTATAAGTAAGCATGTACATGTATGTGTAGTGTGACCTAAGTGTAAGTAGAAGTAGCAAGACGCCTGTAATCTTGCATATTTATGAGACAGACAAAAGACACCAGCAATCCTATTTTGGTGTCATCAGCAAATTTGCTTATGTCGCTATTTATTA